TCATCGCACCCTCTCTGCTTAAAAGAGACATAAATCTCTTGGATCGACTGCAGAGACTAGCAACCAAATGGGTGGTGGGGTTGAAAAATAAACCCTACGACGAAAGACTCCAGCTCTTGGGATTATTTCCACTGAGCTACAGGAGAATCAGAGGCGGTCTGTTTATGTCGTACAGCACATTAGGCACGCCAAACCATTCCAATGTGAGCATCTTACCGATGCAACACCACCACCTCCCTCAAAGCAGTCCTTGAAAGATTGCACATCAAAAAGCGAATACTCAGATTCGTGCACAATACTTCTGAATGCGAGTCGTCGCAACTTGAAATGATCTCCCAGCCGAGGTGGCCACAGCCCTCTCAGTAGACAGCTTTAAGAAGAGACTTGATAATCAAGTACTCACATACGGACTATCATCTCCCTCTTGGACAAGCTGTGCCTGATGCATATCTTGAGACCTGCTAGTTGTTACCATTGCTATCTCCTCAGATCACTCAAATGATCTATCTCGCCTATTATATCTTTCCCCTACCCCTTGTTTACACTACGGTCCCCTATCACAATCTTCACTACCAATTAACAAACTGAATTCATCTATGTATTACTCAGTTCTGAAAATTTATTTATATTAGCATTATAATTTTATTCTTATTATTCTCCACATTGCAACTAAATGATCTCCGGTATGGTAATGTGACAGCTGCTGGTATCCAGAAAACCTGTAGCCCTGAAATAATCGTTTTCATTCAAATCTCGAGACATACAAACTCGCAACCAACTGTCAACTGACTTGAATTAGACAGTCTAGTGGCTAAACCCCCATTCATTGGACACTACCAAACACCTGGAACCGTACCGAAAGAACAGGAACCGAACGCAAAGAAATCGATTGGTTTAAACTAGCTCGTGAAAAAGATATTGGATACTAGATATTGGAAACAACCGTACTCATTCAAACTACGGGACATACAAACAACTGCCAGCTGACTAGGATTAAATAATCGAGTGCCTAGACACCATCCTTTGGGCATTTCAGAACACCAGAAACCGAAAGAACAAGAATCGACCTGAAAGAATTTAAATACTTTACGCTAACTCGTGAAAAAATATTGGATACGAGACGACCTTCTGGTCTTACTGATTTGATTTTGCGATTACTCTTCGCTTCAAAATATCATCGCAGCGTGCGATTTCCTCCATTCACTGGAGAGAACGGTGAATTTGTATATAGGTTTGACGAAAACCCCAAAATGTCCCTAGAGTTGCAAATGCGTAGTGTTTGACAACTCTAGTGTTCAAAATACGTTCTTATCAGATAATTCCAATCAAACCAGAGCTGAAGAAGGGTTAAAGCATAGATTTGAATTAGGATCTATGTTTATGTAATTTACGATAGTTACTTTTCGTAAGAAATCCAGGTCAACTTGGAGCTAATTCTAGGGCAAAGTAGACATACAGGGGGAAGTGAAAGTATTAATTTCGGTGAAATATCATATCATTTCCAACGTGTTGAAGTAAACGGCTAGAATTTGATGGTTTGCTTTCTGTACTCACACCGACTTTAGTGGAGGATGTTTCCCAAAGTTCGCCTTTATTTCCTTTATTTGTTCGCTTGAAATATACATAGTGAGACATACCTAAACTGGATCTAGTATGAGTTATTAATCAAACGCCTCCAGTTTAGAGTTTGACCTTTGCAATCGATAACGTTGGTACCAATGTTAGAGAAATGCGAAGGTATTTTTTTTAGGAAATTTACCAACCATCATTTCAATTCCTGGTTCAGTTCCTCTTGAACTGAACAAACTGCTGGCCTTTCAATATTAAATACCACTTAATAACAGTCAATTAGTGCAAGTAGCCAGTGAATATGTATGCCGAAATGTCGTCCGACATCTCAATTGTTGATCTTTTACTGGGAGATTCATTTATCGACTTGGAATACTCGGATGATACAGTTTTGTCCGCTGAATATTCTGAAGGAATATTTAGTCTCCTAACGACCTTAAGTAACAGGGCTAGTATATTTGGAATGTGATTCTCTTCCGCCAAATGCGAAACGATGTTTGAACAGTTGGCTGTTTTTTCAGCTAAATTCATGACAAGAAGTGAAGAAGTTTAGCGTGCTGACCACTCCAGAAATCTGAGAAGTCAGTTGGTGTTTGATTGAATTTAGGCGTGAACTCAGAAAGCTTGACTGGCGTCACTTATTGAGCAGATAACATATCTGTTTGCCAACCAGAAAATGAATTTACTGTGTAACAGTTTACTCTGCTATACTTTATTTGCATGAAACATGATCGTTAAGAAAAGGGGACATTCGTGGATTATTCCTATTCTATCACATGTCTTCAAAGCATTGCTCATGTACTCTAGGACCGCCGAGTAAGCATGCTGGTGTTAAGCAAAGGGTATTAGGGAAGGATTGCAGATCAACTGGTGAAGTAGTGGATCTTCATCAGTTGAAGTTGTTGGGACAAGCGTTATGTCTGCCTAGTCACCGGCTACCTCGGCGAGCGATGTAGTCTGGAAGAAAGCTAGGACTGACCATGAAGTCACTAACAACCGGACTGAACAATGTCACTAACTGGTTGAGCTTTTGAATTTTTCATTCTTAACTTCTCGATCCATATCTTTTCCACTATCAATAATACTGCTACTACTATGGGATTTGAACTGACAGTTGCATCTCTCAGTGCTAATGTAGTATGGAAACGAGGTGATGTACGTAAGCACCAGGCTCTGTATTTCAACTGACTGACAGTCTGTTTAGTTTGCCCAAACTTTACATATGAGTGGCTCCACAGGTTACTCCCGTATAATTAGTACACTTGCTTGGCAAAGTTTAGAATCTCTTGATTTTTCGGGAGTATACATCAATGGATACAGTGGGTGCTAATATATGTTGTATGGATAATATTAAAAATCCAAAAGTACACACATTGGGGTTAAGACAAATATATCAAATTCACTTTATACTAGCACTGGATTACGTGTAACTACTTAGTGCATTAATTCGACATCGTTGGTTGGCTTAAGCTCAGTTGTGCGGTCAGTTCTGATTCATTACCTGTATACTATGTACTGATCTGCACAGTTGACCTTGAGAAACAAAAACAACTCAGTGATTATGGTGGAGTTTCGTTCTCTGTGATGGATGCTTTGGTTATGGTTTCATTGTTATTCCGAAGTTTTGTGCTGATGTTGTTCAGAAGAACAAACAGAGTTCTACAATCAAATTAACCAGCTTGGAGATCGAAACTCTATCATAATCAGCCACCCGAGCTTGAAACTTTTCCCACCATCACATAACTCAATAAATTTGGCATAATTTGATTGGTTATTTAGTCTTTTGCTTGCTTTGTAGTCCACACTGACTATTTGTTTACTTAATAAGCTTTTACTTTCCTTCAGTTCGATTATCAGATCAAATTCATCTTGACGTGCATCCGCTGGTACTTATCCTAATTGTCTACTTAGAATGCCCTAGTCCCAAATCCTCCTGTTCGTAAAGTATAAATCTATTATAAACTGAAAATAAACAGGATAAATTATGCGTTTAAGATATTTATTAGATAGACTTATTTATAACATGTTCCATAATGCAATACTCATTACAAGTTCAATCGAGAAGCTGGCTTTATATCTAAAAATAAGGCTGCAACAACATCATATATTTTTGGGATCATCTCTGTTCTAGATATTTTTATTATCATCCTCTAAGTACCCTGTTACATATTTTGTAAACTTCTTTTGACTCTACAATCAACACTTAAATCCCAAATTCTTTAAGGAAATATAACCCTACTGGTTACAGTCCACAAACATCGGACGGCCACCACAACCTGGAATATTCAACAGGAAGAATTCGCTCCCAGACATATAAAGTCCTAAGACTTTTCATTTTCGAATGACGTTTTTCGCGCTTAAAGTCCAAGGAGATAGTGTTAAGATTATTACGAATCGACAAACTAATTTTACTAGGCAACCATTATTCCAGGATCGACTGACTAGTTTTCGTTGTCGTGAAACTTATCCTCAAGTTATTCAAATGGTGTTTTTACCAGTATGTGGCACGTACTGACATCAAATTTCCTATTAGGAATTCGTTAAGATTGTATTGCTGAAAATTAAAAATTCCCTAGGTCTTGAAAGTCATTAAATTATGTTCTCGTCAAATTTACTGAAACACATCATTCGACCTAAACATATGACTTGAATGATTTCGACCACTGATACCTCTCTATTCATTATGATGAGTAATTAGTTAGTTAATTTATCCCCGTTTTTAAATGCCCAGAATGTTGTCAGAAAAACCTTTTTTCACTATAGAATCGACTATTAGCATACAATGATGGGAATCGATCATTAAAATTGGAAACTGCTTGTGGGAAACCGGTGATGAGTACTTTTAAACCTCTTGAGAGATAAAGTATTGAATAAAAAAAGCATAGCTTTTTGTTCTTAAAAGTATACTTGAATGTCCTATTCTGGAATTATTCATCTAAAATCATGCAAGCTGTCAATGAAAACTAAGCAATTATGTACTAATAATGGTTTAAATTTGTTGAGTAAACAAAAGATGTGAAATTGGCTAATGAATAGTAATTATCAGTATTTTAATGTAGCATAATAACAGTCGGGTTAAGGTAAAGTGATAATCTATGCATGTTTGAAGACCGTGGAACATCCTTCGTGAGGGGTAGCCAAAGAAAACCAAGCCAAGTAAACAGAAACTAATTGATATTCATGATGCGTATAAGTATTCGTTGAAGTATATATATCTTTACAGAAGACATAGGTGGAATAGTTATTGATTATTTGAAATCAAAATTGAATTTTAAAACTATGAACAAAACGTTAGTCATTGTCTTATCAACTATTTGAACATTCAACTATGCATTTAATGGATTTATGCTAAAAACAATATATAACAACCAAAATGGAAAAATATACAATGGAATATATACTAAATAAAGAATAATCTGTATTATTATTAATTATGATAATTTTCTTTCTGGTAGAGCTAATCCAACCATTTTAGCAGCTTCTTCAGTTGTTTTCTCTTTGGTTTTATACAATTCCACGAGTTCCTAAGAAATAAAAAGGAGGATGCATTACAATGTTGGACGCTTTTGCTTTTTCCTTGATATACTGTTTGTCATTAAAAAGCCATTTATATTGGTACACTTTTGAAACTGAATAAGTCGAATTGCTAATGGTTATTACTAGTGCAGAAATCATTAACTTTCCTCATAAAAACAGATTACATAAGATTTCTCCCATGTGTTAATTTATATGCATTTACGTGGATTATGACTGACTGATAAAACCATCTAGCTTATATAACAGAACAGAAGTAAAAATTTCAAACTAAACTAGACATTTTCACTATACCCTAAATTAATTTTAAGTGATTAATTCTGATGATTCTAATAAAAACTGATTTAAATTAAGCAATCAATATGAATATCAGCTTTTGAATTTTATTGCAATAAGTTGTGAAACAATTAAAAACATGTTAATGAGACTGTAAATTATGAACCAGACTTATTGAATTGGGGCTACGAGTACGATTACTACCATACTAGTAAAAACTATTTTAAGCTATGAGAAACTTTGACATGTGACTAGGTTTCGAAAGGTCTGGTAACTGATTCAGTGGGTCATAAATTCTGTTTCTACAAAAATAGTAAACACTTAATGGGTTTTATTCTTTTTGCTTAAGCATGAAAGTACGTTTGTAGTAGAATGTATGTAAAAAGTGAAATAAATTATCGATGATATGTTTCAAAATAACTACTTACTGAATGTTTTCGTAAACTCTGCAAATAATTCAAATATGTTTCAGCTAAATGAACACTTTCATTTTCTCTAGCACAATTTTGAGCATCGGTTAAACGATTATTTTTAAATTCAGAAATAACATATTGCATTACTGGTGAATAGTTGAAAGGCTAAAATAAAGCAAAATTTATCAACAAAAAGCTTTATAATTACTAACCGCTTTCCGATGTTTTTTAACATGCTGAAGTTCACGGAGAATATTTTGAAACAGTTGGATCTTGGATACCATTGTCAAGTATTGGAAAATAGATTTGTCTACAAATGATAGTAGGACAAGTATGTTATCATCCGAAAGTATAACGAAAGATTCAAAAGCAAAATATTGTGCATGCAATGTAGACTTGAATAATGTAAAACCATGGCATTACAAAACAATGTTATTTTTGAAGATCACTAATCATCAGACATGGTGAATACACTTTCTACTCTCACTGGTTTGTGGGTATGCATTTTGAATTCCCATTGAAACCTAATGCATAATCCCGCTGCTTCATAATAAAAGGATTATTACATAGCCTACTAAATAGAAATCAAGGGGTCGAAACTTTTAAAATTTACTTTAATAATAATATAGTTAATTTTAAATGAAGTAAAACACAATAAGAGTATGTATTGGCCTTATTTATTATGATTAACATTAGCAAAACAATGTACACATACACAAGACGTTTTATTTCATGATAGACTGTCCTAAAGCATCTTTGTATAGTTGTTTATAAGAATACCAACTGCTCTACACTTACCGATAATTAATACAGGTAATTAAGACGAACAATACACATTCGAAATGCTGTATTTCCGTAAAACCGAAAGGGATAAGTTTATGCTCAGATTTTATGGAAGTCGGAAAATTTTTGTATCTAGGTAGCTGTATGAATGCTAATAGAAGCGTGGCAAAACAAGCCGGTCGATGTATAGTGAGAGCTAGTAAGATTTAACTCCTCCTGGAGCCCCTTCGGGGCTACTGCCGGTCCAAGGCCCGAATAAAGGAGGATTAGGCTTGGGGTTAGGGGCCACAACCTGTACAAAACTAACGCCCTAAAAGAACGCTAACAAGAAAAAATAATTTGAACCATATTAACTCTGCCCTGGAAGTTAGAAAGTCTACATTTAGGGGAGTTATGATGTCTCATAGTGGGAGCCGAGTTCCTTTGGAAGTCACGAGGCCGATTTCCCCTCCAAACAACCAGAACCCCTTACACGGTGTGGGCAGCCGGGAAGAAACATCCGCCCTTATACCTATAAAATCACATGAGACCAAACCGGTCTTCCAGAATCGGGTTGCATCGGCACCTGAAATAGTGACAGGTAGTGAGGCAGTTGGGCGAATTTGCCACTTCACTTATCCTGAGAGTCTCATCAGTGTTGATGAACTCAGCACGGGCACAGAAGGCTCGATTGACTTTTGCCGACTTACGTCACCTATGACTCAGGCGAGAGATCCATGAGCTGGCCAAAGGACGAGTTTATTGCGCAGCAGTTCACTCCGTCCTAATTTATGGCTGTGAAATATGGCCAGTCAGAGTAGAAGATATTCCTAGGTTACTGGTTTTCGATCATAGGTGTCTCCAAAGCTTTGCTCGTTTATCTCGGGACTATCGAGTAACCAATGTAGTTGTTAGGAAACGGTTACTAGGTTAGGATGGCAAATCAGTAGATGATGTAGTAAAACTTCATCAGCTGAGGTGGTTGGGACATGTTTTACGAATGCCAAACCACCAACTGCCTCGACGAGCGATGTTTTGTGATGTAGTAGGTTGGAAGAATGTTAGTAGCGGCCAAACCGAAACATGGTACAAAATCATGAAATCACTGACAAGTGGACTGAGTCACGTTGGTAGGTATCGACTATCTGGTTAGGGTCCGCGAGACGATAGTAACTAATGGTTTGAGACCTTGAACGACATGGTTCAAAATCATTTGCAACAGTGCAGGTGCATTCATCCTTTGTGTTCTCTCTAATTCTAACCTTCTGAATTCCTCATCACCCCTATCCTTTTCTTTTTAAGTTTATTTCGCTGGATTACACTTCTTGACAAATTTCTTCGAACCCTATTCTCCACTACCAGCAATACTTCTACTATCTCTACAACTATGGGATATGAACTGACAGTCGCGTCTCTATGCTAATGTGGTATGATAACCTGAACTGATGTACTTACGTACGAAGTTCTACGTAGTAACTGACTGACTTCAGTGCCCGAACAATTTGAAATCAAAGACAACACTACTAAGCAGATGAATAGTCTTAATGTGTACAGAGAATGAACACAAAATAAACATACGATATAAGTTATTGGGAGAAAAACAGCTGTAGTTTACTCACACAACAACCAATTAGTACTTGAATTCAACTCAATCTTTAGGCAGTGTATCTAGTTAGTGAAACTAGTTCAGAAAGAGATTATGCAAATAGTTACTTTCGATCCAGATTAAACTAAAAGACAGACCACTTAAGGGAACAGCTTAACTGGTCTTTCGATAATCGTTGAACAGTTTGTATAGCAAATTGATACGTTTACTCTCAGTTAGGTTCGACGCAACCTACAGCGGGGAAAAGCAGCAGGGCTTGGAGATTAAAACCTGAGAATTTTAAGTAAGGTGACTCGGTTATAGCAGTTCGGTTGACTGAAATCTTGGTCGGTGACAGTCCCAGTACGTAAGAAAGGATAAAATCCTCTTGTAACAGCCACAGAAGAATCGGTCTGACGAATATAATATCCAAAACATTAGTTTTGATAATACTTAAATTCTTACCTAGGACTCATGAAGAGCTAACCCGGGAGAAGCACGCTAGTTACAAATCTAGATGTATATGTATGTAAACTAAACATCTATCTTTCGGCAGATTATGGAATATAGACAAACGCCTAGCCGTGGTTGTGTTCCTTGACCTTTGTTTTTCTATAGCTCTGTGCCATTGTTTCTCATTAAAAATTATTTTTAAGAGGTACACTAGCCTTTTGCAGCTTTTATGCTTAGAAACTATTAGCAGAATCGGAGTTTATGGTGAGAGTTCGTTAGCATTCCCAAAGGCAATACTATTCATCAAGGTTGTCCAGTGGCCTCATTTCTGTTTAAATTGGTCACCTCTAAATAGGGGTCGTTTAAAATTGGTTGTTTATAAAGACTGTGGTGGAGTTCAGATTATTTATAAGGAATTCACACGTCCGTAAGTTTTAGATTGCAGAGGATGTGCTTTTAAGCCAAAACGAGGAAACGTCACCGCAAAATACGTTGTCGCGGGTAAAAATGAGTTTGAAACCTAAAAAAAAATTTGCCCATGTGACGGTCTACAATTTTTTGTAACTTTAGCTCGAAAGTACCTTGTGTGCTGAGTGACTGTGAGTTAGAGTGAGGTTATTTCGAAGATAACATAAAATTAAAAAACGTTGACAAATGAGCGAGCACGCTAAATGCACTTACTTTTATTAGCGACAGAAATCGACAACAATTCGAAATAATACAAGCATGAGATTAAGACAAAATAATAATCGAAACTCGAAGTTGGTAGCGTGAGATTTGAATGCGTTACAGATTTTTCCACTATCCACCATCCAATAACTATTTAACGAGCAAGTATCAACCGGCTGATATCTTTGCGCTCAATTATGAGCGAGAGCCAACTTACTTATAAGCGAGGACTTATGCAGTAGTTTATCACACGTTTGTAGTTCATAAAAAGGATTAGGATGTAAATGGTGGGTTACTGAAGCCTATTTCTTGCAACCTTCGCAATTATGTGCAAGTCGGGTACTGTCTCAAAGTCTTTCGCAAAGTCATGGAATATGTGTGCAGCGGTATTTTGCTGTCTGAACAATATGTGCACCTTTCGCATGCTATTAGAAGTTCAGATGCTCAGGACCTGTCTATCTGGATATCCATATCCATATACATATCCATGCGTGTTGTATGACTGTGGTAAATTGTGTAGGACAGCGTTCTTGATGATGTCTCTCACTGCTTGCCATTGATCGTCCAATATTAGCCCTCACCATTCCAGTGTCCATGGAGAGGGTAGAAGATTCTCTCTCATGTGCTCATAATTTGCCCTAGTGTAGCAAATACAGGTCTCATTTTCTTCCAGATTGATTGTTCCTCTTATGACCATGTAAAACAAGATTGCCATGGTCACCACTTCCTGTTGGTGTATGGAAGTGGACGTTTTCGACCAGGAGCTGATCACTTGTTAACAAATAATCCATGTTTGAGAACTTTCCATAATTAGTCCATCTAATGGCGCTGCGTACATGCTCAGTCATCTCAGAGCTTCTAATGTCTGCCTCAAGTTGTCTTTGGAAGCGAACAGTGGGAGTTGTACTCTGTTTGCTGAGATTTATAGATGGTGTGTTGAAATTTCCAGTTATGAGTATTTAATCAAACCCAGGGAGATGCAGTTGCAGTATTGCCTTACTAATTTTATCTTTCTTGGCCTTAGTACCTGAAGGGGGCCAGTAAATCCCTCCTGTTACGTCCAAGTTTTGCTCCTTCCGTTATTGAAGTACAGTATGTCGATCTATTTGCAATTCACGAACCCAAATTAACAACAGAACCAAATTCCAAAGTTAGGTACCAAAGTTTATTCGTAATTCACAAATAATCGACCAAAATGTCGTTCGTCAATTTACAAAGAGACCACTAATGTCGTTCTACAATTTTATAGGTTCCTGGAGCAAATATCTGCAAACGACCAAACCAAGACAAAGAGGAATCCGAAAATGGCCGAAAATAATAAATCAAACAAGTTCATAAGTTAAGTAAAACAAATATACCAAAAAACACTGTGAAATTAATGATATTTATACAAAGGTTTTAATCAGCCAAATGTCTTCATTTCTCCCGTAACACTCCAACCAAATGTTTCGTACCGATTGCGTGGAGACAAGACCAACATGATGCTGCGAAGAATTGCTAGTTACCGTGGTGGTGTGAAGGCCCATGCTACGTGATAGCCAACGCCACCGTTGCACGTAATGCGCATCAGTTTCTTCCAAGCTAATACTAACCAGCTTGGGTACGCCGTGAACTACCATCCTGGTCTGCTTTTGAGTGCCCTGGCTGCTGTTCATGCTGACCGCGGTCCATCGTGCCTGACTCGGATCAAGGAGGACAACTTTACAGAGGGTCTCTGTGATGTGAGTAGGATATCTTCGGCAAGTTGTGCCAAGTAGAAGGTTACCCTCAACGGAGGAGGTTTCCCTTATGCAACATTCAGATCCTTGAAAAGACAGCATATATTGGCCAGGGTACTGCTCATGCCAAGGATAGCGCAATACTTTTCCCATTGTTCTTTATCAAAGGCAGCCTACTTCTTATCAAGCTAACTTCCGACACTTAAATACTAAATAACATTAGTGAATTGTGTCTAACATATCTGTCCCTGATTTGTAACATTTTACGAATTGTAGAGTTGCCGTTTATCTTTTTTACACTCACTCACTGCTCCATACTGTTGACAGATACTGAGGTGTTAACAACAATCGGTAGTTTTTTGTCGGTGTGTTTGTTCGGGTTATGGTTACTTTTATCACCTGTTTCGTTGGTTTAGTGCTGGGCAAGTTAGGTTGACCCGTGGGACCTTCAGCTTTGATGATGTTGATTTTCTGTCTCAGTGATTATGCACCGTGGACAAATATACCAGAACCACGGAAAAAGGTGACCCGAAATGAATCCATAGTACTGTCTAGGTACGGCAGTGCCACGGCAGCAATGAACCCATACACTGTAGAAGTTGCATTCGAATGCAGAGTCAATGGTTTTGACTGGCATCGAGCAGGCGAGCGATTTCTGAACGGTATAATGTGTTGATTGAGGCTTAGGGTGCCTTTTTCCCCTGTTCTTATTTTGCCCACTGGCCTTTCTAGGAGTAGGAACCTGAGGAATATCGTTTCGGTTTCTGTGTTTGAGACCCAGTGGAGGTGTGAACATTACCCCGAGGTACGTTAATGAGTAACTTTCTGAGTCTCTTGACAAATGTCTTTGGCTACCGGGATTTTCGACTTACTAGTAACCCCGGAATTCATACATTTATAGTTTTAACTAGCTGTTATAGGTAAGAAGTGGCAGCAAAATTTTAACTGAACCTGATACCTAAGAGATAATTGGAAAAGGAAAATACGCTACATAGGAATTATGGGAGAAGGAAATAATAATAAAAATAAATATAACTACGACAGAATAGAAACTGAAAGTCACCCAAAGTTGCAACTTTATATTTGAACATCCTAGTAAGCAACCTCGCGTAGGTCCAGTAACTAGTCCACAACTCCTGTGTTTGTGACTGAATGAATGTGTTTATGCTGCCGAAGCAACTAGGAAGAGAGCAGTTCATCGAGACGTATGTCGATTCACAATTGTAGAGGAATACATGTTTTAACTATACTCATTCGATGTCATACCTCGCCTTATAACAAAACTCGTGCGGCTCCACACCCCCCAAAAACAACTCAGTATACTTTGTGAGCAACTCATTAATATTTGGTTTCTTCTCAGGAGCGTCCAATATTAATTATATCGGAGCCACTTCGCTGTCTCCGTGTATTGCGATCGTGATCACGTTGTCGCTCCTTTTCAATTACCGACCCTACTTCAATTAGGAAGTCCCTAGCCGTTCCCAACTTTTACGATACTGCTAGACACTCCCAACATTTGGCTCTCTATGAAATGGACAGTTAGTGTACATGGCCTAACGCTACTACGTTACATCACTCTTATTTAAGCCACCTGTTCTTTTTTCTCCCCAAAGCTGTTCATGTCTTGAATTTTGCACACCACCAGGACTAACGCTTCGTTCACCAACTGTCTGATTACTTTTGCTAATTTATTGAGATCCATAGGTTACGCGACATTTACTGATTTCGATTATTGTGCAGTCATTCACTTCTAATTTCCCTCCTTAGGCACTAAGGATTCTACTACCTGTTCCCATTATTGATATGCATAAAACTATTACGAGTTCACCTTACTCGGTAAACGGAGAGAAAATAAATGATACAGTGACACGATAGGCTATTCTAATCCGTTTGCCCTAGGCCCTGCTGACTAGATCAAGAAGTCTTGATAAGGAGTTGAGAATGTAGTTTACAGGCACCCAGAAAATTCGAGGTTGCTAAGCACTCAACTCAAGCTTATTTACACAATGATAGAAACGCCCTTGGGAGAGCCATAAAATAGCGTACTAAAATAATCCATCAAGGATTTTCCGAGTGGAAAATGTAACCTGAAGTTCACCTAAGCATCCCTGGAGCGAAAACAATGAAATTCAGAATTTCAGAATAAAATTACAAAATTAGGACCTCTTCCCAAGTGAGTTCTGGGGATCCAACGTCCCCAACAATTATATGCTACTTATGTCTGTCCGTATAAGTAACGCACACCACGCAGTTAAGCAATAATCTAATGCGTCTACTGTCTGTTCAAATACGTGCCATAATAAAACAACTGAAAATCCTACCCACTTTGAAACGTTAACAGCCTACAGGTATCATCCTGACTATCAAAGTAAATGATTGAATTCACTTCATTGTACCTCGTTAAGCTGAAATCTCGCATCCAGTGAAGAATATTACAAGACCCACCAGTCTACAAACGTGATCTATCAGATGACATAGACCAGACAGTAGAACAAAACAATCGTTTTAATATAGAACAAAGATAAGAATAAGTAAATTTTATAAGGTTATAGCATACAATTTGAAAAGTTACACTGAATATCTCTCTACTTTTGCTATAGTAAGATAAGAAACAACTGCTTTACTACTACTAACTTCATTAAACATCAAAGACAATTTCTATTCTAAGCTAAGATGTATATAAATAGAACCAGTGAGTAAGTAAGTAAGTAAGTAAGTAAGTAAGTAATAAAACATACATTGAAGCGGTTACGCAGAGAGATGCTTCATGATGAAAAACAATTACAACATTGATAATAATTCAAAAAACCAAGCAGAACAATAAATGAAAAGGATAAATATATCGTATGCGCTTGAGTAAAAAAAGAAAACTGTTGCAATACACTGCATGCAATGCATGAGACGCAAAGAAAAAAAAACGAAGAGACATGCTTGAGCGTCAATACATAGATAAATAAACAGACGAAAAAATTAGTTTCAAGAGTTTAACAAAGTAAAAATTTCTCATACACTGTTTTTCTTTTTTCTTTGTTTATAAAGTATACAAAGAAAGGAAAAAAAATCAAAACAAACGAAAAGAGAATAACATAAATAAGATTAACAGAAAAAAAAACAACAACAACAGCAATAATAAAATGTTGAACAACTAACTCTATTGAATCGGATAACAAGTAGAAGAACAGTCGTTCAATTGTCAAAACAAAAAAACAAACGATCGATTACGTGTTTTTTATGTTTGGAGGTTTGAGTTTATCATCCATCCATTCGTCGCAGCACAAGATGAGACACACTCGTTGATGGCAGCGGACTAACTAACATGAAAGTTAAAAATGGACCTTAAAAAGTAGTTTGTTTTTTTCCTTTAAATAAATTAAGGGAACAACAACCAACAAATGCAAAGCATAATGCATGAAAGTGAACACAAGTAAAAGAAAAAACACACTTATTTTCAAAAGATAAAAAATAAAATTAAATTTAATGACAATAAATAAAAATTGATAAATATATGAATAAAATATTGATTTTTAGTAATATATATATATATCATTTACTAATTGTTAACATTGTCTAAATCATAGGAATTTTGAATTTCATAAAAGCATGTAGCAGGATCAGGAGGTTGATGATTCCAAACAGCAGAGGGTAAGTTTAAATCTTGCAATGGTATCCATTTGTAGCCTACATTACGTGACATCTGGAGGGAGAAGAAAACAGAAATAAGCGAATAGGTTATTCATGATTTTAATGTTTTATCTTAACAATGAATAAAATTGTATGTTTGCATTAAGTGAGCAAATGAATCTTAACATAGCTGTAGCATTTTTGACAGTACAATTGAATAGTTTAGCGGCTATGGCTGACTCCATCACGACTGAATGATTTGAATATTAATGTTATTATTGTAACTCTTGCTTGAATAATTTCCAGCTAATTCCTATTGCTTAGTATTCTCTGACCACAACACACTGGACAAGTTCCAAACAATCAAGAACACGGTGGAACAGGAAAAAATTATATTCCGAATATCAAGATTAGATGGAAATAAGAAGCCGAAGGCGAAAATAGATACAACATTAGTTTCTTTGTAGTATTTACATGAGAAGCTTCTGGATAGTAATTCACGTGATCGACTGGATTAGATTTAGCCAATCAGCACGCAGCTAACAACACGAGAATTTTCTAGCCTGTTGTCCAAGAATCGATCAGGCGCTGATTGGATAGGAAATTGGCCAATCAGCGCGCAGCAACGTAGTCATATTTTATTCCATCTATGTCCCACTAACAGTTATATATATATATATATATATATTTGGCATGTATTTTGTCTACAAATCCCGTTAATAATAACACAGATGTAGAAAGTAATTGGAGAGTGAATAGTTCAGATATTCGATGATGTAGACAAACGGATAAGAGATGAAAAGAAATGTACGTGAACTAGAAAAACAGAAACAGCTTAATCTATGAATGATAAGTGACTGTGAATTTATAACATCAGTCACATGTTCAATGTCACATATATCAACGACAGAATAATTAGAAAGATTTAAATTATTCACTTTTCCCAAGGTTAGATTGAATCACATAGGCGTATAATACATTATGTATTACTATAGTATCATACCCATTTAAATGTGAAATGGAAGGTTGCATTTCCTAAAGCCTTAAAACACTGACAATTGCATAGCTAAGTTCAGCGCATAGATCGTAATTAAAACCTATGCAACAATCAGAGATGGCGAACAAGAATAGAAATCAGAAATGATGAAGAATTGCCACATTTTCAAATAAAAAAGTGGTAACTCCACAATGATACTCAGAAAAAAGTCCGAAAAAAAATTTATTAAACAAAACAATAAAACATGCAAAAGATATATATTTAAGGTAACACTAAGATAAAGAGCAGATACCACTGAGCCACATGAATTCCAACCACTAAATCTTAGGTTCGAAACCCATTTAACCTAGAACAGCTTGGGAGAATGAGTAGCATGATTATCTTAGAGCGCAACTCATATTTAGGCGCTCTCTGTGAATAAGTTGAACAAAATCCTTCACTTAAAGCGTATGAAGGTTAATGAAGAAATCGAAAATACTACATACGAATAGTCGAAAAAGCCAACACATGACCCAAAAGATACTCGTCGTCCAATGAAAAAAAAACACTTTATTCATTTCCGCTAAGCATTTAACAGTTGGAAATAATAAAATTCTAGTCTAAAAACAACTCTAATTTTAAATTGTAAACATTTTCTATAATTTTATAATATTTTTCTCATTAACCAGAAAATAATTCATGAAGATGATAAAACTATTATTGGAAAATAAATGTCTAGGAAGGCTAGTGAGGCTATTTTGATAAGTTCATCTCTGACATCCAATAAGAGATTACACACAGGACACAAGAATATCTAGTAAAAAGAAGAAGTCTTTAACTATATACATCACAACTAAGATAACATAAATGATTAATTATAAACAACGAAAATTCAAGGTATTCTCACAAAATCATTCATAACACAATACATGATTTTAATATACGTGAAAATTGATCTATACCCATCAAGTTAACGAATCAATTATCCTATTATTATAAAAAAAATGTCAATATTAAACATCTAAATAGTAGATGTATATATATATTATACAAATGCTGTAAAATAATTGATATTGCATGTGATCTGATTATTTATTTATTTTCAATATCGGAAGAAAAAAAATTGTACACTTTTGACTGGACGTTTGGTAAAACAATTACACCATCAGTTTTTGAATATGATATTACAGTGATGATTAGTAATAGATTCAAGTCAAATTAATGAGAGATTCTGTTGTACTAAACACATAGGTTCTATCAATTTTATCAAATCCATTATCAACCTTCGTTCCCTAATATTCTCAATTACTGTTAATACTTCTGTTATAGCTATTACTCTTGGATTTGAACTGACAGTTGCGTGTCTCTGTGCTGATGTGGTATGGTATAAATGCAATCAATTAACACAACTTCAAATAGAACAATCGAAACAAAGCAGCATACATTTTGTACAGTTCAGATCAAATATCGCTTGATCATGTAAATGGCATGTCCTTTCAGTCAATGTTATTATTCATGTGACACCGAGCTGTGTATTTGTTACTGAATGTGAAAAATGTGATATTTGCGATGTGAGAGAGTAACGTTAGGAATATTTCTATATTTGTTGGTGGTGTGAGATTCGCAAAAGATTAATTGTGTGGATATTCGAATAAATGATCCACGTTGCATGGATCGTTATGTTTTGCTTTCTGTTAGGCGCACGGAGGTTTGTGAAAATATGAAAGACTTCAATCACTCGTCTAATTTTAGAAGCTTCTAAATGTCCTGATACGGACGAGAGTGGGCAGAATGCACTCTCCTCCCCGAAATGTTTTCATATGGCGATGTGTATATAACCATTATCAGCGAGGTGTCTTACTTACTACCTTCCACCGTAGGAGTGTTATGCACAAAACTCTATTTTAATCAATAAATAACCAAAACGTGTCAATAAATAATATATAGTGCTAGAAGTCAGGTTATAAACGACGTTTATCCAGTAAATCATTGATCAATTGATCCTTGACTTTTGTTTTAATTAGCTAGAAATGGTACAGCTTTTATTGAAACGTTGATAACCAATCAATGACAAAACAAGTTTAGTTTGTTTACATGATTTCTGATGAATACATACTACTGGAATGATCCGAAAAATAAATTGTCCAGTGCTATCCTTGTTGTCAGTTCATATACTGTTTGATGAACATTACTTTTAAACAACTATGTTTGATTTATTGCTATTCCGTCATCTAACTACATTTGTTTTACACTTCATCAACCAGTTATAAAGTTGAAATTTCGTTTATTGTCAGGAGGTGACCTTCTATTGGTTATACCTCCTTAGTGTGCATCTACAAGCCTATCACTTTCTCACAACCAACCAATCAACATATCATATACTGCTTTGTTCTTCATATATTGACCCTTCAGATTATTCTTGAAAGATTTAAAATAATTTGTTGATTTCTTTAAATAATCACTACAATCAAAATCGAATTGTTGTGTGTGTGTAGGGAAATAAAAACATATTTTTGACAAAAACAAAAACAAACAACTAACTCTCCTATAATCAACAAATTTATGCGAATACACGTGATAGAATAGAATTTTATGATTAAAACCATATGAAGACACTACTTCCGACTGGAAATGTCATGCTTCTATAAATCTCACATTATTATTATTATTATTATTATTATTATTGTAGGAAGGTGTGACATAACACAAGATAAATAAATCTTATGTGTTTCTTATGGTTTATATGTAAAAAGTGAATGATAAATTTTTGACTAAACAATCAGATTGATGTTGATAATTTTCTTTCCAAATTGTCTGATGAAAAAACAAACAAAAGAAGATTGCGAACAAGCAAATTAACAGAGATTCTGTACATGGGATGTGTGTACAGGTTTTATTTGTAGTTTATCAGTAATCGATATGGTTCGATAATTAGCATAATATGAAATGACAGATAATGCCCATCATATAACAAGAAGCTTAAGAACCCAATGATAAGCGATATCGCATAATACATACAAAAGACAGTTATTCAAAATACAACTGAAACATATTTACATAGGTCCCTAGAGTAAAAGAAAGGATTTCTATTTGAATATCTGGGAAAAGGTTGTTTCTATGCAACTCATAGGGTTTCGATTTAAAAAACCCACGACAATTTAATGAATTTAAAGTTTGCTATACTACCACCTAATCGTGTTGTAAACAACCGCGACATTAACAAAATTTTAAGATGCATCACATTTAGCGTGCAGACAATTCAGTCAGTCAGTCAGCTGCAACAAAGAACTTCGAACGCACAGAGACGTGATTGTCAGTTCAAATCCCATAGTGCTAGATGTAGTACAAGTAATAGCGTTAATGAAGAACATTAGGGTTGAAAGAAATTATTCAAGAAGTAGAATCCAGTGAAATAAATTTAAAAATAGAAAGACAGGGATGATGAGGAATTCAGAAGATTGGGACTTGAGAGAACAGAAAGAGTGGATGTTCCCGGGTCATTGCAAACGATTTTGAGGCATGTCATTCAAAGTCTTTAACTACCGCTTAAGATTTTCTCGCATAATCCGACCAGCTAGTCTACACCTACCAATATGACTCAGTTCAGCTGTCAATAACTTGATGGAATTATGGCATGTTTTGGTCTGAGCACCTCTATCTTTCTTCCAGCCTGCCCCCGAAGATGAAAGACATCGCTCGTCAAGGTAGTCGCTGGTTGGGCGTACGTAATACATGTCCCAACCACCTCAACTGATGAAGTTTCACTACTTCGACAATTAATCTGTCATCCTTACCTAGTACTCGTTTACTAACGACAGCATTGCTTACTCGGTTATCCCAGGATATGCGAGAAATGCTTCGAAGACATCAATGATCGAATACTAGTAAACTACAAATATCCTCTACTGTTAGTGGCCATATTTCACATCCGTATAATCGGACACAACAAACTGCTGCGTAGTAAACTTGTCCTTTAGTTAGCAGACAGATATCTCGCCTACGCTATAAGTGAGGCACACGTTGACGAAAGCCAGTCGAGCCTTCTCTGTTTAAGTGTGGAAATATTTGTATAAAAAGAATTAAAATTAGATAGAAAT